ATGTCCTGTGGTAAATGGTATTACCTAGGTTATCTTAGGGTTTTATGGTATTAGGTCTAACATTTAAGTCTCTAATCCATCTTGAGTTAATTTTCGTATAAGAAGTAAGGAAAGGATCCAGTTTCTCAGCTTCTACTGATGGCTAACCAATTTTCCCAGCACCACGTACAAACAGGGAATCCTTTCCCCATTTCTTGTTTTTCTGAGGTTTGTCAAAGATCAGATGGCTGTAGATGTGTGGTATTATTTCTGAGGGCTCTGTTCTGTTCCATTGGTCTATATCTCTGTTTTGGTACCAGTACCATGTTGTTTTCTAGTTATTGTAGCCTTGTAGTATAGTTTTAAGTCAGGTAGCCGTGGATGCCTCCAGCTTTGTTCTTTGACTCTAGGATTGTGTTGGCAATGTGGGTCTTTTTTTGGTTCCATATGAACTCTTAAAGCAGTTTTTTCCAATTCTGTGAAGAAACCTGACAGTAGCTTGATGGGATGTAGCATGACCTATAAATTACCTTGGGCAGTATGGCCATTTTCACAAAATTGATTCTTCCTATCCATGAGCATGCTATGTTCTTCCATTTGTTTGTGTCCTCTCTTATTTCCTGAGCAGTGGTTTGTAGTTCTCCTTGAAGAGTGTCCTTTACATCCCTGTGAGTTGATTCCTAGGTATTTTATTCTCTTTGAAGCAATTTTGAATGGAAGTTCATTCAAGATTTGGCTCTCTGTTTGTCTGTTACTGGTGTATAAGAATGCTTGTGATTTTTGTAACATTGATTTTGTATCCTGAGATTCTCATGTTGAGTTGCTTATCAGCTTAAGGAGATTTTGGGCTGAGACAATGGGGTTTTCTAAGTATACAATCATGTCATCTGCAAACAGGGACAATTTGACTTCTTCTTTTCCTAACTGAATGTCTCTTTATTTTTCTTTCTTGCTTCGATTGCCCTACCCAGAACCCAACACTATGTTGAATAGTATGTAGAGAGAGGCATCCCTGTCTTGTGCCAGTTTTCAAAGGAATTCTTCCAGTTTTTGCCTATTCAGTATAATATTGGTCCTGGGCGCTTGTCATAAATAGCTCTTATTATTTTGAGATAATGCTCCATCAATACGGAATTTATTGAGCATTTTTAGCATGAAGGGCTGTGGAATTTTGTCAAAGACCTTTTCTGCATCTATTGAGTTAATCATGTGGTTTTTGTCTTTGGTTCTTGTTTATATGCTGATTATGTTTATTGACTGCGATGTTGAACCAGCCTTGCAAGTCCTGAGGATGAAGCCCACTTGATCATGGTGGATAAGCTTTTTGATGTGCTGCTGATCCGGTTTGCTGCATTTTATTGAGGATTTTTAATCAATGTTCATCAGGGATATTGGTCTAAAGTTCTCTTTTTTCTGTTGGCGCTCTGCCAGGCTTTGGTATCAGGATGATGTTGGCCTCATCAACAGTTAGGAGGATTCCTCTTTTTCTATTGATTGGAATAGTTTCAGAAGGAATGGTACCAGCTCCTCCTTGTACCTCTGGTAGAATTCAGCTGTCAATCCATCTGGTCCTGGTTGGTAGGCTATTAATTATTGCCTCAATTTCAGAGCCTGCTATTGGTCTATTCAGGAATTCAGCTTCTTCCTGGTTTAGTCTTGGGAGAGTGTAAGTATCCAGGAAGTTGTCCATTTCTTCTAGATTTTCTAGTTTATTTGCATAGAGGTGTTTATAGTATTCTCTGATGGTAGTTTGTATTTCTGTGAGGTCGGTGGTGATATCCCCTTTATCATTTTTTATTGCGTCTATTTGATTCTTCTCTCTTTTCTTCTTTATTAGTCTTGCTAGCGGTCTGTCAATTTTGTTGATCTTTTCTAAAAACCAACTCCTGGATTCATTGATTTTTTGGAGGGTTTTTTGTGTCTCTATCTCCTTCAGTTGTGCTCTGATCTTAGTTATTTCTTGCCTTCTGCTAGCTTTTGAATGTGTTTGCTCTTGCTTCTCTAGTTCTTTTAATTGTGATGTTAGAGTGTCAATTTGAGATCTTTCCAGCTTTCTCTTGTGGGCATTTAGTGCTCTAAATTTCCCTCTACACACTGCTTTAAATGTGTCCCAGAGATTCTGGTATGTTGTATCTTTGTTCTCATTGGTTTCAAAGAACATCTTTATTTCTGCCTTCATTTCGTTATGTACCCAGTAGTCATTCAGGAGCAGGTTGTTCAGTTTCCATGTAGTTGAGCGGTTTTGATTGAGTTTCTTAGTCCTGAGTTCTAGTTTCAATGCACTGTAGTCTGAGAGACAGTTTGTTATAATTTCTGTTCTTGTCCATTTGCTGAGGAGTGCTTTACTTCCAATTATGTGGTCAGTTTTGGAATAAGTGTGATGTAGTGCTGAGTAGAATGTATATTCTGTTGATTTGGGGTGGAGAGTTCTGTAGATGTCTATTAGGTCTGCTTGCTGCAGAGATGAGTTCAATTCCTGGAAATCCTTGTTAACTTTCTGTCTCGTTGATCTGTCTAATGTTGACAGTGGGGTGTTGAAGTCTCCCATTATTATTGTATGGGAGTCTAAGTCTCTTTGTAAGTCCCTAAGGACTTGCTTTATGTATCTGGGTGCTCCTGTATTGGGTGCATATATATTTAGTATAGTTAGCTCTTCCTGTTGAATTGATCCCTTTACCATTATGTAATGGCTTTCTTTGTCTCTTTTGATGTTTGATGGTTTAAAGTCTGTTTCATCAGAGACTAGTATTGCAACCCCTGCTTTTTTTTGTTCTCCATTTGCTTGGTAGATCTTCCTCCATTCCTTTATTTTGAGTCTATGTATGTCTCTGCATGTGAGATGGGTCTCCTGAATACAGCAGACTGATGGGTCTTGACTCTTTATCCAGTTTGCCAGTCTGTGTCTTTTAATTGGAACAATTAGTCTATTTACATTTAAGGTTAATATTGTTATGTGTGAACTTAATCTTGCCATTATGATATTAACTGGTTATTTTGCTCGTTAGTTGATGCAGTTTCTTCCTAGCTTCGATGGTCTTTACATTTTGGCATGTTTTTGCAATGGCTGGTACCGGTTGTTCCTTTCCATGTTTAGTGCTTCCTTCAGGATCTCTTGTAAGGCTGGCCTGGTGGTGACAAAATCTCTAAGCATTTGCTTATCTGTAAAGGATTTTATTTCTCCTTCACTTATGAAACTTAGTTTGGCTGGATATGAAATTCTGTGTTTAAAATTCTTTTCTTTAAGAATGCTGAATATTGGCCCCCACTCTCTTCTGGCTTGTAGAGTTTCTGCTGAGAGATCTGCTGTTAGTCTGATGGGCTTCCCTTTGTGGGTAACCTGACCTTTCTCTCTGGCTGCCCTTAAGATTTTTTCCTTCATTTCAACTTTGGTGAATCTGGCAATTATGTGTCTTGGAGTTGCTGTTCTCGAGGAGTATCTTTGTGGTGTTCTCTGTATTTCCTGAATTTGAATGTTGGCCTGCCCTACTAGGTTGGGGAAGTTCTCCTGGATGATATCCTGCAGAGTGTTTTCCAACTTGGTTCCATGTTCCCCCTCACTTTCAGGTGCCCCAATCAGATGTAGATTTGGTCTTTTCACATAATCCCATACTTCTTGCAGGTTTTGTTCATTTCTTTTTCTTCTTTTTTCTTTAGATTTCTCTTCTCGCTTCATTTCATTCATTTGATCCTCAATCGCTGATACTCTTTCTTCCAGTTGATCGAGTCGGTTACTGAAGCTTGTGCATTTGTCACGTATTTCCCGTGTTATGGTTTTCATCTCTGTCAGTTCGTTTATGGCCTTCTCTGCATTAATTATTCTAGTTATCAATTCTTCCACTCTTTTTTCAAGATTTTTAGTTTCTTTGCGCTGGGTACGTAATTCCTCCTTTAGTTCTGAGAAGTTTGATGGACTGGAGCCTTCTTCTCTCATCTTGTCAAAGTCATTCTCTGTCCAGCTTTGATCCGTTGCTGGCGATGAGCTGCATTCCTTTGCAGGGGGAGATGTGCTCTTATTTTTTGAATTTCCAGCTTTTCTGCCCTCCTTTTTCCTCATCTTTGTGGTTTTATCTGCCTCTGGTCTTTGATGATGGTGATGTACTGATGGGGTTTTGGTGTGGGTGTCCTTCCTGTTTTTAGTTTTCCTTCTAACAGTCAGGACTCTCAGCTGTAGGTCTGTTGGAGATTGCTTGAGGTCCACTCCAGACCCTGTTTGCCTGGGTATCAGCAGCAGAGGCTGCAGAAGATAGAATATTGCTGAACAGCGAGTGTACCTGTCTGATTCTTGCTTTGGAAGCTTCCTCTCAGGGGTGTACTCCACCGTGTGAGGTGTGGGGTGTTGGTCTGCCCCTAGTGGGCGATGTCTCCCAGTTAGGCTACTCAGGGGTCAGGGACCCACTTGAGCAGGCAGTCTGTCCGTTCTCAGATCTCAACCTCCATGTTGGGAGATCCACTGCTCTCTTCAAAGCTGTCAGACAGAGTCATTTTTGTCTGCAGAGGTTTCAGCTGCCTTTGTTTTGTTGTTGTTGTTGTTTAGCTGTGCCCTGTCCCCAGAGGTGGAGTCTACAAAGACAGGCAGGACTCCTTGAGCTGCTGTGAGCTCCACCCAGTTCAAGCTTCCCAGAGGCTTTGTTTACCTTCTTAAGCCTCAGCAATGGCAGGCACCCCTCCCACAGCCTCGCTGCTCCCTTGCTGGTAGATCACAGACTGCTGTGCTAGCAATGAGGGAGGCTCCATGGGCCTGGGACCCTCCCTGCCAGGTGTGGGATATAATCTGCTGGTGTGCCTGTTTGCTAAGATCCTTGGTAAAGCGCAGTATTGGGGTGGGAGTTACCCAATTTTCCAGGTGTTGTGTGTCTCAGTTCCCCTGGCTAGGAAAAGCGATTCCCTTCCCCCTTGCACTTTCCAGGTGAGGCGATACCTCTCCCTGCTTCAGCTCTCGCTCGAAGGGCTGCAGCAGCTGACCAGCACCGATTGTCCCGCACTCCCTAGTGAGATGAACCCAGTACCTCAGTTGAAAATCCAGAAATCACCAGTCTTCTATGTTGCTGGCGCTGGGAGTTGGAGACTGGAGCTATTCGGCCATCTTGTTCCACCCCCAGTTTAGTGATTATTGAGTTTAAAAAGCTAGGGGACAGATACACTCTCAGGTCATTCATAAATTTTCAGATTGTGCACAAGCATTTACAATGCTCATGGGGAAGGAGTAGGAAATTGTCAGGTTAACAGAGAAGAGCAAACAGTCTTGGGACAGCCCAACAGTTTTCTTTACATATTGAGTTCAATGAAACATTCATGTGGGATACTTTCAGTAGGTAATGGGATTATAGGCATTTCTAGCTGGAGATAGAACTCTGGTTGAAGATGCAGGTTTAGAATAATTTTATTATAATTATTAGGCAAAGCCATAGATCTCAATGAGCTTTTCCATGATGTAGTAGATGTAGAATAAAAAGAAAGTCATTGACAAAACTCTGGGAATATCAAAATTTCACAAGAGTCAAAGGACTTGGTAAAGGAGACTGAGCAGTGGCTAAAGAAACGTAGAAGAGGAGTCAGAGAAAGTGATGTTGCAAATATCTTTTAAGTGTGAGAATTTCAAGCAGTAAAATTACTGAAAGGTCTACTGGCTTTAACTTACAAGTTCTTTACTGGTAATCTGTTCAAAAGAATTATTTTAGAGTTATTAGGTATACTGTTGATGTGGTTGATATTTCTGGTATCCAAGAAGAAATCTCCCGAGATCCTACCTAACTTTTTGTAAGTAAAGCAGCATACATACACAGGGGTGGGAAAATGTCTAGACTGGTGAGTACACATGCCAACATTTTTCCAGAATTTTCTGCCTCATTATACCACTTGAGTAAGGGGTTTAGAAATTTTAGACTATACTTGGGAATTTGTCCATTTCTTTTGCAGTTCTATCAATTTTTGTATCATGTATTTTGAAGCATTTATGTTATTATGTACATCAATATTTAGGACTGCTACGTTTTCTTGATTAATTGAACCATTTGTCACTATAAAATGACCTTGTTCATTGCTGGTAATATTTTTGCTATGCAATGTACTTTGGTATTAATACTCTTCCTCAGCCTTTTTTTATCAAGTGTTAGTGTGGTGTATCGTGTTTCATCTTTTAACCAATTTTTGTCTTTATATTTAAAGTTTATTTCTTTTAGGCATTATACATGTAAGTCTTGCTTTTTTATCCATTCTGAAAATCTGCCTTTGAGCAGAGGTCTTTAGACCACTTTAATTTATAATGTAATTATTGATATGATTAGAGTTGTCTGTCATCACGCTGTTTGATTTCTATTAGTCCCAGATCTTATTTGCTTTGCTTTTTTCCTTTTTCTGCTTCCTTCAGACTAGTTTAGTAATTTTTATGATTTAGTTACATATCTATACATGTATAACATTTTTAGTTATTAATCTAGTTTTACATTTCTTTATAATTTTGTCATATCTTTTTTGGTATAAGTTTATTTGGTATTAGGTATAACTCTTTGCTGTCTTAGTAGTTGCTTTAGGATTTATAGTGTATGAATTTACCTCATCACAACCCACCTTCAAGTAATATTATATCATAACATAGATGGTATAAGAAATTACAATAATATATTTTCATTTCTTTTCTATCAGTCAGATCCCAGCCTAGATCTGTGGGATTATGACTTTCATTAAGTTTAGAATATATTTAGCCAATTTTTCCTCAAATTTTTTTTCTGCCTCTCCTCCTACCTCTTTGGAGACTTATATATTATCTGCTGGAAGTTTGCTCATAGTTCACTAGTGTCTCAAATTTGTGAATCTTTTCTTTCGTGATGGCAAATTAATCTATGCTCATATCTACTCAGTGCAGCTTTCATCTCTGGCATTGTAACTTGTATCTCTACAAGTACAATTTAGTTTTTAAAAGTATCTTCTATGCTTTACTTATCTTCTTGATTTTTATAGTAGAATAGAGTTGAGTTACTTATAAACAGCTTGACCCTTTTCATTTTTGCTTTTTATGGTATGAGCTAACTCCCCACACCTGAGGCAAGGCCTTTCTGACTATTCATTTTCCCATGAAGTCTGGGTTTTCCCAGGCAAATGTATAAAAATAGACACACTTCTTGGCACTGTGCAAGCACCAAGTGTGATTTCCTCTAATTTTATAAGCCACCCCCCACCCCCTTAGGTAGTTTTCTAGCTCACATGCAATGTTCAAAATTTTGCTGAATACCGACAGGGGGTTTACAGGGATTTCTTGCCGTTGCCTCTGTACCGCTAGCTCCTCCTCAGTGTTTATTCTATAATGTCTGTCTGTTTTGCTTTTACCAGACACTAAGCTTCATCAATGTAACCAAGAGAGTCTGGTAGATCCCACCTCAGTTTTTTCTTCCTGTGTCATGTCTTGGAATCTGTGTCAAGGTAGGAAGCTGAAACTTCATAAAACCTTTCTTTTTTTTCTGTTTTTCAGGGATTATTATCTTCTTTGCCTAATGTCCAGTGTCTAAAAAATTGTTTAATGTATTTTGTGGGTTTTGATTTTATTTATTTTAGCTACGAAGAAAAATCAGTACCTGCTGTTCTCTCTTGGCTAGAGGCAGACTACACTAGAGCTTCAGCACATGCCGCACACTGGCTAAAATGCTTTCCTTCCCTGTTTGCTCAACTGCTTCCTTTTCAGTCTTCATTCCTCAGTGTAGCTATACATTCCTCGGGGGAATTTTCCATGAGCCTAGTATAGATCTAATTCTTAGCAATCTGTTTTCTTATAGTATCTATCTGAATTTATAATTGTCACTTTTCTGGGGCTTTGTCTTTCAGCACATTTTAAGTTAAGGAAGGGCAGAGTTTTTTTTTTTTTTTTCTTTTGTTCTGTTTAATCTGCAGAGCTTAGTATAATGCCTTCCACATGGTAGGCAATCAATATATATTTGTTCAGTGTATGAATTAGTGATTGTTGAAATATGCGGTTCTTTATGTCCCAAAAGTACTAATATATTTTATTTCTATCTCCTCCTTGAGACAGATTCAACTAGCCTATCAAAAATCTTGGATGCAGTTCTTTCTTGTGAAAAAGCAAGGGAACTTAAAAAATATCCCTGTGGGCCGGGCGCCTTGGCTCACGCCTGTAATCCCATCACTTTGGGAGGCTGAGGCGGGAGGATCATGAGGTCAGGAGATCAAGACCATCTTGGCTAACACAGTGAAACCCCGTCTCTACTAAAAATGTAAAAACAAAATTAGTCAGGCGTGGTGGCGGGTGCCTGTAGTCCCAGCTACTCGGGAGGCTGAGGCAGGAGAATGGCGTGAACCCAGAAGGCGGAGCTTGCAGTTAGAGGAAATCACACCACTGCACTCCAGCCTGGGCCACAGAGCGAGACTCTGTCAAAAAAAAAAAAAAAAAAAAAAAAGTCCCTGTGAACAACTTACAGCAAAAATGAAACAAATGAAAAAGAAGCTTTGTGTACTACAAAAGGAACGATCAGAAGCAAAAGAAATAAAATCACAGAGAATCAAAAAATTAAATGGAAACAAGAGCTCTGTAGGGTGAGGTATAACATACTAGTATACAGGATACTTTTTGTACTAGCTGACTTACCTTCTGAGGTTTAACTGGAGAAAAATATATCTGTCTTATAGAGTGTCAAATTCTTTTACATAATGCAAGTTTTTAACTGTGAATACTTCTCCTGATAATTAAATGCATATTTATTTAAATCACAATTTTAATGGCTATATAGAAGGCCATTATTTGGAAACCCCATTATTTACTTAACAAGTTAAATTTTCTTATTTTTAATTTTTTGTGTGTTATAATAAGTGTTGCAAGGCATAACTGCATGTAAGTCTTTTTCTACCATTCTAATTATTGACTTGGAATAAATTCTTCAATATAAAAATATTTGGTTAGGTTATAGGAAGTTTTTAAGAAGTTCTTCGTTCATTACTTCTTAATTGTTCTCACGAAAATGTATATTCATTCATAGTTCAACAAAGAGAGTGTGAAATGGCCATTCCTCTACCCCCAATAATCATTTTCTTTAATCATACACTTGTAATCTTAATATGCATGGAGTATAAAGAAAAATATAGAGTAATTTATGATTAGCATATTCAATATCTCTCTCCTACATAAATAAAATTAATTCAGAGTTCATGTTAAAAATACATATTATTTTTGTTGTGTAATTAAATATTCTGTCTTATTCTAAAAGAGATTTAAAATTTGTTGATAAAATATATAATAATCAGCAAGATACATTTAAATTATTACTAAAAAAAGAAACAAAAGATATATGGGATAATAGATGTTAGATTATTTAGCCTAGTCTCAGATTTTAATATTATAATTATTTTTAGGGATACTTGCCTTATTTTATAAAGATGAATATTTATGTCTAATAATTCTGTAAACTTGTTTACAAAAGTAATGTCATTTTAATTGGTTAACTCTAAATGATCTGTCCACATTGAGGAGTAATTTTGACAGTTATATTTTTAAAATAATACTTTTCAGCTTCTAAATTTACTGGATAGCTTCCTGTATTCTTTTCCATAACAGTTGTTGAAGTTACTAGTAACAGAACATTTTTAACTAGAAGATGTTCTTTTCTCACTATTTTTCAGGTATGTGTGTCATTTGGAAGAGAGTCTAGTAATAAAGTAAATACCTCAGAACTAGAAAGGAAAAAAATATTCAAGAATATAGGAATTTTTTTGGAATAATAAACCAATATAGGAAGAAGTAGATCTCAAAGTGAATTCTATTTTCTAACAAAATGGATTTTAATATAAGTATATTTAATGGCAGATTGACTTTAAACCAAGAAGAAGAGAAGAAATGCCAATATATTAAATGAAAAAATTAGGCAAGAATTAGGAAGAATCGAAGAGCAACGTAAGAAAAAGTTACAAGTGAAGCAACTTGAACTGGCTCTCCGAATATACAAAATATGAAATTGAAGAATGTAAGAAGTAATTTGAATCAGGTAAATCAGTCTCTGGTAAAAATTTTATATTTTTAACTTTATTTCTACAATATTACTTTTAATATCCCTTCAATTTAGTATGTATTATTCAGAATTATGATAATACTGCTATAATATTTAGAAACGAGCTTTTGTACGTTTCATTCATAAGTTTTCATTTATCTTGGGTATGTACGTAGGAATGGAATTGCTGGGTCATAAAGTACCTATGCATAACCTTTTCAGCAATCACCTCACAGTTTTTCAAAGTGTGTGCTATTTTACTTTCCCACCGGCAATGTATGAAAGATCTAATTTCTCTACGGCCTCACCAGGCTGGAGTCCAGTGGAGTGATCTCAGCTCACTGCAAGCTCCGCCTCTCGGGTTCACGCCATCCTCCAGCATCAACCTCCGGAGTAGCTGAGACTACAGGCACCCGCCACCACGTCCGGTTAATTTTTTGTATTTTTTAGTAGAGACGGGGTTTCACCATGTTACCCAGGATGGTCTCAATCTCCTGACCTCGTGATCTGCCCGCCTCAGCCTCCCAAAGTGCTGGGATTACAGGCGTGAGCCACCACATCCAGCTGTTTGTCATTTTTTATTGTGGGTACACTAGTGGGTGTTAAGTGGTATCTCCTTGTGGTTTTGATTTTGTATTTTCTTGGTGGCTTGTGATGTTACGCTTTTCTTCATGCACTTATTGGACACTCATATCTTCTTCACAAAAAAATGCCTATTTAAATATTTTGCCTATTTTTATGTATTTTTTGTTTACTGTTGAGTTGTAAAAGTTTTTTGTGCATTTTGGATACAGATTTCTAATCAAATATATATGTTGCAAACATTTTCTCCACTTTTCTGGCTGTCCCTTTATTTTCTTTGTTATGTCCTTTGAAACACAAATGTTTCTCATTTTGATGAAGCCCAGTACATTTTCTTTTATCACTGTGCTTTTGGTGCCATATCTAAGAAACTATTGCCAAATCCAAGGCCATGAAGATTTATTGCTATTTTTTATTCTAAGAGTTTTATAGTTTTGCAATTCAGAAACATAAAATCAAATACTGCATGTTCTTACTTAAAAATGGGAAATACATAATGTGTACACATGAACAAAGAGTGTAAAATGATAAGACACTATAGACTCAGAAGGGTGAGAGGGTGGGAGGGGAAAGGATGATGAGAAATTACTTAGTGGATTCAGTGTACATTGTTCCAGTGATAAACACACTAAAAGCCCAGACTTCACTCCTACCCAATATACCCACACAACAAAATTGCACTTGGACTCCTTAAATTTATACAATTTTTAAGAATGGTTTTAGAGTTTTGGTTCTGTGATTAATTTTATAATGTTTTATTGTGGTAAAGCATACATAATAAGCTTTGCCATTTTAAACATAAAATTCAGATGCATTAATTACATTCAGAATGTTGTGCAATCATCAAAACTATGTATTTCCAAAAAAATTTTCACCCCAAACTGAAACTCTGTACTCATTAAGCAATAACTCCTCATTCTCCCTTTTCTCCCAAGCCCCCGGTAGGGATAAATTTTATGGTATTTGAATTAATTTAAATGTAAACAACTAAATGCAGCTGGTGGCTGTCATACTGGACCTCACAGTTCTAACACCACCAGTATCAACCCCTGGACAGATATAATCATTTCTAACTTGCTTTTGCATTTATTATTATTCTATTTATGGCAATCCGTAATCTGTTCTCCCATAAAGCTGGACTATTCCTGTAAGAACATATCTTACACCATTTCATTCCCAGCTCTGAATCCTCCAGTGGTTACCTATCACAATTAACAAAGAAATCCAAGCTGTTTATTACGGTCTGTGTTTATCTGCTCCTCAGATTGTGTGCATTCTCCTTTCCTCCTCCCAGTGCCTGTAGCCTGACTGGTCTTTGTAGTGGTCTTTGAGCTCATCAAGTGCTGTCTGCATTCAGACTTTGCACAGTGTTTCTTCTCTCTGCCCTCTAGACATTTGCTTAACTCACTCCATCATAGCTGACCTGCTCAAGTGTCATCTCCTCAAAAAGATTGTTCCAGAGCTCCCTATCTAAAGTAGCAGCCCCTGACCCCCGAATGTGATTACCCTACCTTATTTTCTTTGTATTATTATACTTTTTATTTAGAAAGTGCCTCACTCTGTCACCAAGGGTGGGGTGCAGTAGCACAATCATGGATCACTGAAGCCTCAAACTCTGGGGCTCAAGCAGTCCTCCTGTCTCAGCCTCGCAAGTAGCTGGGACCACAGGTGAGCACCATCACACTTGGCTAATATATTTCTTCATAGCACTTAGTACATCCGTCACTTTAATGTGGAACTGTTTATGCATTTATGTTCTACCTCTGTCACTATACTGCAAACTCCATAAAGACAGACCTTCTCTCTCCAGTTCCCATAATACTACCCAGCATAAAATAGGCTGTAAGTAAATATCTGTTGAGTACATAAAAGAAGAATCTTATTCATTTCAAGGCTATAATCTATGTTAGATTTAAAGAGATAGTCTCCTGACTAAATGGAAGTGTTTATTGAAGCATGACTATTAAAAAAAAGTGTTGCACTTAGTGGATAAGCTTTTGTATGTGCTGCTGGATTCATTTTGCCAGTCTTCTATTGAGGATATTCACATCAATGTTCATAAGGGATATTGGCCTTAAATTTTCTTTTTTTGTTGTGTCTCTGCCAGGTTTTGGTATCAGGATGATGCCAGCCTCATAAAATGAGTTAGGGAGGAGTCCCTCTTTTTCCATTGTTTGGAATAGTTTCAGAAGGAATGGTACCAGCTTCTCTTTATATCTCCAGTATAATTCAGCTATGAATCCATCTGGTCCTGGGTTTTTTTTTGTTGGTAGGCTATTAATTACTGCCTCAATTTCAGAACTTGTTATGGGTCTATTTAGGGATTCGACTTCTTCCTGATTTTGTGGTGGGAGGGTGTATGTGCCAGGAATGTATCCGTATCTTCTAGATTTTCAAGTTTATTTGCAGAGAGGTGTTTATAGTATTCTCTGAGGGTAGTTTGTATTTCTGTGGGATCGACAGGGATACCCCCTTTATCTTTTTTTTTTTTTTTTTTTTTTTTTTGAGATGGAGTCTCACTCTGTCACCCAAGCTGGAATGCAGTGGTGCAATCTCGGCTCACTGAAACCTCCACCTCTGAGGTTCAAGCAATTCTTCTGCCTCAGCCTCCACAGTAGCTGGGACTACAGGCACGCACCACCACACCCAGTTAATTTTTGTATTTTTAGTACAGATGGGATTCACCATATTGGCCAGGTTGGTCTCGAACTCCTGACCTTGTGATCCACCCACTTTGGCCTCCCAAAGTGCTGGGATTACAGGCATGAGCCACCATACCAAGTCCCCTTTATCATTTGTTATTATGTCTACTTGATTCTTCTCTTTTTTCTCTATTAGTCTAGCTAGTGGTCCATTTATTTTGTTAATCTCCTGGATTCATTGATATTTTGAAGTGTTTTTCATGTCTCTATCTCTTTCGTTTCTACCCTGAACTTTGTTATTTCTTGTCTTCTGGTGGCTTTTGAATTTGTTTACTGTTCTCTAGTTTTTAAAATTGTGATATTAGGGGGTCGATTTTAGGTCTTTCCAGCTTTCAGTTGTGGGCATTTAGCGTTATAAATTTCTCTCTTAACACTACTTCAGCTGTGTCTCAGAGATTCTGGTACATTGTCTGTTTGTTCTCACTGGTTTCAAAGAACTTTGTTATTTCTGCCTTAATTTTGTTATTTACCCTGTAGTCATTCAGGGGCAGGTTGCTCAATTTCCATGTAATTGTGTGGTTTTGAGTGAGTTTCTTAATCCTGAGTTCTAATTTGTACATGTACAAATTAGAGTACACCATGGAATGTTATGCAGCCATAAAAAAGAATGAGTTCATGTTCTTTGCAGGGACATGGATGAAACTGGAATGTAGAGGACTATGTGCTCACAAACGAGAAGTCCTGCTCTTGCAAACGAAGCAGGGCGTTCCTTCCCTGCAAACAGGGAGGACAAAGGAGCCAGCTGCTAACAGCAGACCCTGGGGGCTTGTTTATGTATAAACATCTTGAAAATCCAGAAAATCAGGGAAAGGTCAGAAAAACAACAATGTGTCTTGTGACTTGGCAACATTCCACAAATGACTGTATAAAATAAAGCAGAGCATGCCATTCGAGGCAGCCACCATGTTTGTCTTGTCTTGTGTTGTCTTGTGTGTTCATTCCTTTGTTTAGGAAACACGCAGACCCCAACACTGGAAGCCATCATTCTCAGCAAACTAACACAGGAACAGAAAACTAAACAGTGCATGTTCTCACTCATAACTGGGAGTTGAACAATGAGAACACATGAACACAGGGAGGGGAACATCACACACAGAGGCCTGTCAGGGGTTGGAGGGGAAGAAGAGGGAGAGCATTAGGACAAATACCTCATGCATGTGGTGCTTAAAACCGAGATTACAGGTTGATAGGTGGAGCAAACCACCACAGCACATGTATACCTATGTAACAAACCTGTACATTCTGCACATGTATCCTAGAACTTAAAGTACAATTTTAAAAACAGATATAAATATTGTATACATAAAAAAGATGCACAATGTTTATGAATAGAAAGATTTTTTATTGTAAATAAGTCATTTCTACTCATTCAATTATGGTTGAATGCAATCCTACTCAAAATCCTATCAAGTAATTTGAAAACTGACAAGCTGGCTTAAAATTTTTTTGAAAATTTAAAAGGATGAGAAGAACCAAGAAAATTCTGAAGAAGAACAGAGCTCAAGAATGTATACCATAAGATGTTTCCATCTTTACTACAATTAAAATAAGATAGTATTAGGAGAAGGACATACAAATAGAGAAACCAAAAACAAACTCATACTTATACCATTACCTGATTTATGACAAAGGTGAAACTGCAGTGCAGTGAGGAAATAATATTCTTCTCAATAAATGGTAGTAGATAATTTGGATATCAATATGGGGGAATAAAAGAATTTGACCCCATCTTACATCATAAAGGTCAATTGTAGGTAGGTTATAAAGCTCAATCTGAAAGATTAAATTTTTTTTTTTAAAAAGCTTCTATAACATAGACAAATACCTTTATGACAATGAGGTAGACAAAATTTCTTAAGCAAGACTAAATAAGCATTAACTACACAGAAAAACTGATAAATTGGACCACATTAAAATTAAGAACTTGGTATTAACAAAGTCACCATTAAGAGAAAGAAAAACAAGTTAAAGTGGGAGAAGATATCTGCAATGTTTATGTCCAATCAAAAATTTATATCCAGAATGTATAAAAATATCCTACAAATCTTTATATATTCTGGATATAAATTTTTGATTGGACATAAACC